CAGATGATCCAGTACCTGATCCAAAATCACCTGTGCCCGACGATCCGTCATCCCCAGTACCTGATCCATAGCCCTCTGGTCCGTATCCACCCCCTGGCCCTGGTCCGTAGTAACCTATTGGTGGCTCTGGTGGCTCTGGCTCCGGCACGGCACAGGCCTCCACCTTAACAGCTACCTGGTGGGTGGACTCCAAACCGACACCTTCAAAGCCCGAGATTTCACAGACCTTGCCACGAACACACTGAAAATATTGGCCAACTCCTGGTTGAATGCACATGTCGATGCTTGTTGCACCATCCGCTGCTGTGGTCTGTCCAGGGCATGTCTCACACTGGCTCTCATGGAACAAGCCAGTCGTGTTGGAGTAGGTCCCTGCTGGGCAATTTGTACATGCATCACCCGAATCGGAAGCATACTTGCCTGCACCACACTCCACACAGGATGAATTTGTGCCCGGAATGCTGCCAGACGGGCATGCCTCACAGTAGCAATTGAAACAAGATTCCCACGGGTCCTGCGAGGGCACCTCTCCAGCTGGGCAGGCTTCACATTCCGTTGATCCCCAGTTGATGGCCACCTTCCCTGCAGGACATTCCTCGCAAGCAGTGCGATTGGAGTTCATAAAGGTTCCAGGAAAACACTGGTTGCAAAAACCACCTGCTTCTGAAACCTCACCATCTGCACAGGCACTGCATGAAGTGGCACTGGGGTCGTTTTTGCTCTGGCCAGCGGGACAAGGCGTGCAGTCATCCTGAGCCGCATTGGCTATCAGGTTCATGTCACAATAGTTGCACTGTGCCTCCCCTCCAAAGGATATTTTTCCAAGATCGCATTGTGTGCACTGGAAACTTTCCTCCCCAGAATAGGTGCCCCCTGGACAGCTGCTGCAGTTCGGGTCCCCGGCCAAAGAATAACGACCGGCCAGACAGTTGATGCACTGAAAACCCCATTCCGACTCCCTTCCTCTAGGGCACGCAGCACATACTGCTGTGCCTTCCGTATCACTGTATCTGCCAGCTGGGCATTCAACGCAAGCGGTTCGGTCTGTGCTGGAATATGTCCCTGGCCAGCACTTGTAACACTCTGTAGAGCCTTCAGTCTCTTGATAGGTTCCTCCGGCACACTCCTCGCACACGCCGGACTCGCTGTAACGCCCCGGGGCGCAATTCTCGCAGGCATCCTTGTTGGCATTGGGGCCTGACCCTGCAAAGCACGTCTGACACTCGGTTGACCCTTCCATCTCGGCAATCGCTGCTTCACATGATGTACACTCAGTGTTCCCCTGTGAAGCCACATATTTACCTGGCGAGCACTTGGTACAACGAGCTGCACCAGTTCGATTCGAAGACCTCCCCACTGGACAGGCTGAGCAAACTGCTTCAAGAGTGTGCAGTCGCCACTCGACACCATCATCTGCCAAGTACTTGCCGGCTGGGCATTCTGCGCAACTCACAGATGAAGCATTTTCTGCATATGTCCCCGCCGGACAGACCTCGCACTGTCCATTTTGCCAAAAGCGCCCCACGCTGCCTCGGCCGAAGGAGTTGCTTTGAAGGCGAACGGCATCTCACATTTTGCTGAGGTCCTGGCACTCTGAACACCTTGTCTTCTCAAACGACACACAAAACGCGCATTGGCAAAGCAGGGTGACTTCATGTCTAGGATTTGCGAAAAGAAAAAAGAGTGACATCCCCCGCGTCATGAAAAGTAAGTAGGCTGATTTCGTTCTCTTGTGGCAAAGGACATGCTGAGAAAATGCCGCCCCACTACACTTCAAGTAACTTGCAGCTATATTGTCCATAACAAGCTTTGCAGCTCTTGCTTCAGAAACGTTAAGCCACGGGGCTTTCCGCCAGCCTGCTCGAAGCCCGCGCAGCATGTTGACCCTGCCAGCGTATACTCTCCTTGGCACCGGTGATCTCGTAGGCCGCATGCTGAAAAACATGATTAGGATTTTGCCCAGATCAAGGCATCAATCAAGCATGCATAGCAGGGGGTCGAAGTCCAACATAGAAAGCCTGCACAACGGTGGGTATACGAATCTGGGGTGCATCTAAGCAAGCCCAGCCAGTAGCAGCATGTCCCACAACACACAAATCACAAAACATCCATCATCTGTTTTGTTGGAAGATCATGCCTGCAGGGAAAATGACCTTAGATGGAACCGACATTTGTCAGCAATAGGATTCTTCATCTAGGGTCGCTCATAATACCAAGGGCCTACAGAAAGTTACCACCGTGTGAACTGGAGCTCCACCACACGAAAGGATATGGCTCTCTCTCTTCTCTTTCTTTCTGTGGTTCGGGCCTCTGTCTCTCTTCTTCTTCTTCTGCAGCTAAGCCAGCCCCTACGGACTGACCGGCGCACAGCGCCGAGCCGCGGGCTGGTTCGCGTCCGGGTCAGGCCAGCACGTACACAGGCGCGCATTTCGATGGCCCAGAGACTAATTGACCTGGAAACTAACCATCCCCTAGGTACAAAGCAGCTATCACATTGCACCACCCTTTCCCACCTCTGGTTGTGAGACGGTAATGCATGCCCTGCCCCCGGAATGGACAACCATCTCTACAGCAGCGTGCTACAAAACGCCTAGAGATAAGTAGAAACTTGCAACCACCACACCGCAGTACGACATTGCCGGGGTCTGTTCCAGGGCACACTGCAGTTTCTGCTCATGACCTGGCACAGGAAGCCAGAGCGAGCGTGGGCAGCCAGAGGCCAGAAAACAAATAGGCTCTCTCTCTCTCTTTCTTTCTCTCTCTTTTTTGCCATCCAGAGGGCCCAGCAACCCAGGGCACATGAATGTGAAACAACGGCGTATGCCATCAGCAACACTTCAGGCATCAGCACTCATGAGCTGCGTCACCCGCATACACCACAAACATCCAGGGTTGTTGCAAGCAACCGCGGACTCATGGTTTCAGCCCGCTGCACCATGCGTCCATACCGCCAACAGCTGTAAGACCCAAGATGTACCTGCTTCGGCTGCAGTAAAGGTACAGTGCCTCCGTTTCCGATCATAGAGCATGTGCCATGCAGCGCCACTCTTTTTGCAGTGCCACAAAATCGATTTGTATGCCGTTCTGCATGTGGGGCCACCGGGGGGGGAGGGGTTGCAACGATATTTGCAGTCTTGGGCTTGCTGGTTGCACCGTTGAATCTTTTGCAATAATGACTGCAAATGGCCTTGCACCCAAAATCGAATTCTCTTATTGCCAAGACGTCGAAGTTCCCACCTAAACGCAAAGTTGGTGGAGATTGAATTGGGCTTGACCAATGAAACGCCATAATGCTGAAGTTCACCGTTGAATTCTCCAGACAGGCACTCCGACGGCCAAAGCAAGTCGGCGCTTCAACTTGTTCAGACTGCTTCGGACTGAAAAATTGCATGTGCTTTTCCTGGACGCGACTCAGTCTACCCAAACACTGCAGCTGCTGTGCACGATTTTCAGTTATGTTCCATTCTGGCTTGCTTCTATTTGAGACCATCAACATCACACATATCCTAGGAATGTGTCATAAACGTTTTCACAAGACATAGTCAACCCAAACAACCGTTCAGCAGCACGAAGCCGTTAACTTTCAATGGTTCAACAGTCGTGGGTCCGTTGATGGAGCAGCTGCGGCAGGAAGTGGCACCCGTCATGGATTGAAAGGTCCTTGGCTTCGCTCTCTACACCCCCCCGTTCCTCGCCTCAAGCATACACCCCAAACAAGGCCTGCTCAGAGCCTGTTTTTAAAACCTTGTCTGGGGGGACTGCCTCAGAGCCTAGTAAAAGTGCATGCAGCAAAAGGCATCATAAATCGAGGCCACCAGTCATGTAATGAAATGAACAAGTCTAAGAAGGACGAGGGTCCCGGAAAGGCATGATTCACAAGAGGAAGCTCCTGTTGGGATAGCTTGGAACCGCCCTGCTGGGCAGCTTTGGCAATCTGTTGCTCTGTCGAAATTGGCAGCCTGGCACCATCTTGCACTGAGGAGATCAAGCAACAGCAGCCTCGTTCAAAGTACCCATCTGGTGTCTGCTGGGTTTCCCACATAATACAAACATAAAAATATAGACATACAAATATGTAAACCTATATTAGCTGTCCCCTACAAAAACCCCTAAAGAAAGGCACTCTTGGGAAAACCCCAGCCAATGTCTGCAGATCTCTGGCTGAGGGAAGAGCAAAGTTGCTGCGGTACTCGCCAGGCTGAGAGCAGTAATAGCATGGAAAGCAATTGTAGCATGTCCTTGTTTGTCAGGGTATACGCTTTAGGGTTTAGGGTTTGGGGGTTTAGGGTGTTGCAGGATCTTTCAAGGAAACATGACAAACACACGCAAGCGTGTAAGATCTCAGACATCTCTGCTTGCAAGGCGCGAGCCGGCACTTCCAGACACCTGCCAGACACCAGACGGTGGCAACTCAAATTCCAAGCTAAGCTGCTTCTTCATAATAGCTTGACTTCCTACTGCAAGAAAAGCCAAACATGCACGCACCTGTGTGCAGTCCGCACTTACGTTGCTGGTGTCACTGCAACTGGAGCCGCATGTGCCAAAAAGCGCGTTTTGCGGATCCTGCTCGAAGGATGTGCCGTACCTTCTTTCAGCAAAAAACCAACAACAAGTCGTATCGGCATCATGCAAATGAAGGCAAAACTCCAATGGCCGATGCAGCCTTGGCACAAATTTATCGTGGTGCTCTTGGCAGAATCAGTCGAGAAATCAGCATCAATCGCAGCCGTATTGCTGCCAAACAATACGTCCCACAAGTCAATCTGGACAGTCTGCGGCACTTGGAAGAGCAGACTTCCTCTCAATCTGTAATCAAACCCTCCGGCCAAACCAATGACATACTTTAGGAGGACTCCCCACCCTGTAATAGTGAGTATAGGGGATACTAGTAACTATATCAGGGTCCTCTTATATTCCTATTATACCACTATTACAGGGTGGGGGGTCCACCTAAGACATACTGCTTCTGATTCTTAGCCTGCTATCCTAAGGTTCCCAGCGCATTCAGGCCGTGCCTTCTCGAACACCATGGTATTACAACATTTTTCTGTGGCTCATGTATGCAATGCTGATATTCGAGAAATAATCTTTGTACTTGGGCGGGCCCGATGTCTGTGCGGATTCGTTTTGATGTAAACAACTGTGCTCAGATGGTCAACTTCAAGAGCCCGGCCCAAGCTTCTGTGACCTGTTCTGGGCCGCTGCCCCTCCAAGCACTGCCAGTTCTACTTTTGACACCGGTTCTTTAGAGAAAAAACACCACATACAGGACCAGAGCCAGGGCCTGGTGCTGACCAAGTCCTGAAACATATGGGGGTTTCCCAAAATTAGGGGTACCTTTTTGGGGGTCCCAATAATAAGGACTATAGTATTTTTGGGTCTAAATTGGGGTTCCACTATTTTGGGAAACCACCATATTGGAATGTTCTTAGAGCTTGGCCCCGAGCTGGGCCCCGAGCTTGGCCCTGCTGCGCGTTTGCTGAAAATTTGGGGGAAGTAAGTGGTAGGCTCCAGGGTATCCACCTTGGTGAGTGGGAAAACACACCCATCTGCAGACAGGATGCAGGCCTGTAAGGCTTTATTTTGAAGGGCAAAGTGGCGTCTGGCAAGATAAAACTCGTGATCAAAAATGTGTGAAGTTGTGCACGTCGAGTGCTCCTTCAAGTGGCTCCACACCGACTTCCTGCAGGCCCTACCTTGTTTCAGGGGCGGTGTTCTTGATTTGTTCTCCGGCATTAGCACTGGAATGCCGGTCTCGTGGTGCGTCGAGTCATCATA